CAGGGCCTCATGCATGCAAGGCAAGCACTCTACCACTGAGCCACCTTCCCAGCCCCAAAAGGCTGTATTTTAATAGCTCTCTGGGGTGACTGGGGATCTCAGGCAGTCTTTTCTTGTACCTGGGAAGAAGCAGAGGTCCAGGGAGGTAGTCATGGCTGGTGGCAGAAGCTCTTCCCAGAGCTCAGGCCATGTGTGTGTGTGCATGGATGGGTGTATATGTGTGCATGGGTGTGACTATGTGAGCACATATGTAGGTATGTGTGGGTGTATGTCTATGCCTGTCTAAACGTGCAAGTGCATGCATGTGTTAGTATGTACATGCATGTTAGTATGTGCTGGTGGGTGTAAGTGTGTACAGATGTGTCTGGTGGTTTGTGAGGGTGTGCAGACATTCTTAAGTGTGATCATGTGCGTAGGCATGTGTGAGGGTGCCTGTGTTTGCCTATGTGCAAGTGTGTGTGTGCATGCATGTTAGAGACTGTGTGTGTGAGTGTTATGGGACCTGGCTGAATTATGAGAGCCTTGTGGCTGAAGTCTAGCCTTTCCTTAGATAGCGGTGGGCCACCTGTGCAGTGAGTGACCACTGTCAAAGCCAATAGTGTGTGGTGAACACACAGTCCACCTCAGTACTTACCTTGTGTACTGGTGGTCAGGTACTGAAGCCAGGGCTGGGTCAGTGCTTGGTGAGGAAGACCTAGGGGAGTCTGAGCATGGCTGGAGATGATGCCACAAGGCCACAGCTTAGCTGTGGCCATGACTTCTGTATAGCTCCCACTCAGAACCACAAAACCACTTGGAAATGGTTAAGTGCTTGTTGAAGAGTGGGCTGCACAGTGGGCTGCAGAGGCTGGGACACTGGAGAAGAGTCTGAGCCTATTCCTGAGGCTGAGGGAGGCAAGGAGGGACTCATACTGACTTCTAGGAGCTTGGCTTGGGGGTTGCAGTGATGTTCCTCAGGGAGGGAGGACCACATGGGAACTTCTGGGAGGAGGGCCCGGGAGGTTTGGAGCCAGAGAGAGGAGAGAGGTGTCAGGAAGAGATGGAGATGAGGAAAAGGGAGGCAGGAGGAGGAGCACTGGCTGAGCTGGGATGAGGCAGGTGTGACTGCCATGTGGAAGATATGCAAAGGCCGGCATTAGCGGGCACCTGCTCAGTGCAAGGGCCCTGTCAGGTTTTGAACCTCAGACAAGAGAACAAGAACCCTGGGGGCTAGTTTAGGGTACAAGTGTTTGTGAGTAGGTGAGAAATTTCAGGGTTTCCTCTTACTCCAGAATATGCTCTTGGGAGAATGGGAGACAAGGACACTGTGGCCAGAGGACCATTCTAGCTGTGGATTTGGAGCAACTGTCTGCAGTGGTTGGAATGGCTGGGGTGGCTCTCAGGTTGGAGCCCCACCTTGCATGCCCCAGGGCTGGTAGGACCAAGGGGGTAGTTTGGCCTTAGCTGTGGGAAGCTGCTCCTAGGCGGGAGGCCCGTCCTGTGACCCACCAAACCTCAGCCTCCAGGAAAGAGGCTAAAAATAAGGCTGTGGTAAAAAAAAAAAAAAAAAAAAGGGAGGGTTGTGTGTGCACCCAAGCCAGGGGGAGCCTAGAGGAAAATGTGAGGCGACCGGCTGAGCTGCTGTGACACACGCTTCCCCTGCCAACGGCCTGTGGGATCCTATTCTCCTGTGGCTATGGCTCCTTCCGGGCCCAGAAAAGGGCAAGCAAGCCCAAAAAGGCCCTGATGGAGCTGACCTTGGACCTCTGGGCCTGCAGAAGCTCTCTCTCTGGGAAGGTTCTTCCTAGCCTCTCCCTGGTGCTCTGGGGCCTTGCACCTAAGACTGGGCTCCAGCTGGGGCACCGGGGAAGGGGGTCCAAAGCTTCCTGTATCCGCCCGGTTTGAGAGCCCAGAAGTTCCAGGTGTCTTGGATGTTAACTGGACGTGGAAAAATGTTTCTCTGCCTTAATAGGAGCTCTATGTGGCCAAGGAAGAGGCAGAGGCCTGGGGCTGGGCCTGGAAGATCATTGGATGGGGTCACCTACCTGGCTTGTGATGGCATCTAAAGTGGGGGCACAGCCTGGAGATGGTGTCCTCACTTCTAGGCCAGTGCTGTCTCAGGTGGGGTATCAGAGCCGATTTGCTGGGAAGGACACGCAGCAGGTGTCCACTGCAGATGCTATTGCTTATTTGTTGTGTGTGGGCCCCACATTTGGACAAGGAAGCCATGCATATATGGTGCTCCATGGAGGAACTGGACTTGCTTATCCTTGTTATTCTCAAACCTGGTTATCAGATCTTACCTCCAGACCCTAATGTGCTGAACAACAAAGTGCTGGCATCTTGGAAACTTGGTTTCTTTTCTTTTTCTTTCTTTCCTTTCCTTTTTTAAAAAAGTAAATAAGAACACTCAGTATTTAAAAATAATAATAATTAGCGCTGGGATGGTGGCTCAGCAGTAGAGTGCTTGCCTTGCATGCATGAAGCCCTGGGTTCGATTCCTCAGCACCACATATGCAGAAAAGGCCAGAAGTGGAGCTGTGGCTCAAGTGGTAGAGTGCTAGCCTTGAGTTGACAAGCTGAGGGACAGCGCCCAGGCCCAGAGTTCAAGTCCCACAACTGACAAAAAAGATTATTAATAATAATATAATAATAATCATTTTTGTTTATGTGGTACTGAGGACTCAAGCCCTCATGCCTCATGCATGCTTACCACTAAGCCATACTCCTAGACCCTCTTTTTCTTTTTTGTGTCAGTACTGGGGTTTGAACTCAGGGCCTGGATGCTATCTGTTAGATTTTCCACTCAAGGTTGGCACTCTACCACTTGAGCCACAACTCTGCCTCCGGCTTGTTTGGGAGATAAGAGTCTTATGAATTTTTCTTTCTGGGTTGACTTCAAACCTTGAGAGTCAGATTTAGGTCTCTTGAAAAACTAGGATTACAGGTGTGGCCATCAGTGCCTGGCTTAGCCTTGGTTTCTTCATATGTAAAATGGGGGTGATGATCATGAGCACCAACACTCAGAGCAAGGTGGAAATGCAGTCCACTGGGCTTCACTGTGTCCAGAGCTTAGCAGAAAGTGATAGCAGTGAGTCCCAGGAGCTCAGGGTCATACCACTATGTGTCTTCCTAACCCAGTTTGGGACAAATGTTGAACTCAAGGTGGATAAGGAAAGTAGGGCACTGATTTATGAGGTTAGTGTGAGGGAGGAAATCTGGGAAGACCTCTTAGAAGAGGAGGCATTGGAACTAGTTCTGAAAGGAGTGACAGGGATCAGCCTGGCCAGTCAATCAATGCCAAATAGGAGGGGAAGTATATGTGGAATCAGGTGTGCCTAGGTGGTTTGGGGCCTGGTGGGTGGGATGGAGGGGTGGCATCTGAGACTTGAAGGATTTTGGCACCAGGGAGCTGTAGGTGGCTGTGCCTGAGAGAGGGGCCCGGAGGATAGGCCCACTCCCACCCCAACAAAACAGGAAGTGGGTTTGGATTGCTCCCCAGGCCTGGGCCCCTCCATGTTGCTCTTAGGCACATGTGGGCACTGGCCCGAGGCTGGGTCTGGACAGGGCAGGGACCTACTTGCAGGCTCAGTCCTACTACAGGGAAGAGAAGGAAAGGGGAGGCAGGGAGGGGAGAGGAGGGAAGGGCCTTCACCCTCAAGGCAAGGCCACCACCCCATTAGGTCCTGGTTGTTAAGTCATTAAGTGGATTCACCACACAGCCTCTTCATTAGGGTAATTATGGCGAATGAGATCAGGGCATGAACAGTGAGGAGGCTGCTTCCTCTGGGCTGTCAAGCTGGCAGAATATCAGCCAGGCCTGGACCTGGAGATCACTAGGGTTTGAGAAGGATCTTGACATGTGGCCCTCACCACCCTTCCTTCAGTGTTCCTGCTTCAGCTGCCAGCCAGGCTCTGACCAGTGCTTGGGGACTTCCCTGCTTCCACCTCCCTAGGTGTGGTTAACTCCTGTGCCTCAGTTTCCTTATCTGTCACTAAGGCTAGATGAGGATTAAAGGAACTGAAACCAAGCAATGTAAACCACCATCATTTTCATTGCTGCCATAGACCTTCAGGAGGCCCAGGGCATGGAGGGCTTCCAAGAACAAGGCACTATCTCTGCCTTCTTGCTCCCCTGCTCCTTCTCCAGTGGATGTATCAGGGTCTCTAGCCAGAATGGTCTTACTGTCCTCAGAAACTGGCTGAAGGGAAGTCTGGGCTGGCAAGTCTACACGTCATGCTCACCCAGGAGTCCAGGCTGTGAGGTAGAGGTGGAGGAGTTGGGGATTCTTTGGGTCTCAATGCCACAGCTCTGTCTATCCATCCGTCTAGGTGTCTCATTGTCCCTGTGATGGTTAGGGCCTCATGGGAGCAGACATGTTCAAGAGAACAGCATGGGCATTGACCACTTCCCTCTACATCCTACCTCCTGCGACTGAGAACTGCTAGTGTGTGTGTGCCTGCACGTGCCTGTGTGTGTGCCTGTGTGTGTGTGTGTGTGTGTGCGCATGTGGTCAGGGGGAGGCAGGGCTCCATGTGAGAGGCCACAAGCATCCTCTTCCCTCTCCCTGCCAGAGGGCTTCCTCACAGCGGGCAGTCACTATAGCTGCTCTCTGGGCTGCCGGCTTCCTGGCTCCATGATGACAAGGCCCAGGTATCTGGTACCAGGTTGCTCAGGTACCAGGATCTCATCCAGGGCTGGTCTACAGGTGGGCAGGAGGCCAGACTTGACAGACAGGAGCAGGGGAAGGGGATCACAGGAAAGCCTTACCTGGTTTCATACATCAGACCCTTGTAATGGCTGAAGGATGGGCCCCTGGCCCTAGGAGGGGCTTAAGGGCCCTAGTAGAGCAGGAAGGAAGCCTGAGGGCTGAGGGCTGAGGAGTTATATAGATGGGGCCATGCTGGGTTCAGCAAGGTAGGCTGCAGGGCTGGGTTAGGACTGAGGGAAGTCTGGGGGATGGGGTGGTGGGTTCCCAGGTATCAGACATTGCAATAAGCACCCTTTGTTTCCCCCTCAGGCGTCCTCCTGGACATCCAGCAGCACTTTGGAGTCAAGGATCGTGGCGCGGGCCTGCTGCAGTCAGGTGAGGCCCACTCCCACCCCAACAACAACTCTTGCCTAGGTGCTGCTTCTGCTCCTCAGTTCTCAACCTCCACAGGTCTCTCTTCCCTGTCCAGACTCCTAGAGGGTGTTCAGGCAGTGCCTCTGAACCCCACTACCCACCCACAAACAGCGCTACTTTTCTGAGTTTTGTCTTCTTTTCCTATAAATCAAAACTCACAGTCAGGAGCTGGTGGCTCATGACTATAAGCCTAGCTACTTCAGGGAGATTGAGATCTGAGGATCAAAGTCAGCGTGGGCAGGAACTCTTCTCCAATTAACCACTAAAAATGTGAGAAATGGAGCTGTGGCTCAAGTCGTAGAGCACTAGTGTTGAGCAATAAAGCTAAGGAAGGACAGTGCCCAGGTGTGAGTTTAAGTCCTAGCACACACACACACACACACATGAGTAACATTATAGAACCAGTGCCCAGACCCACCACCAAGCTCAAGAAGGCAGCTCCTTACTTTATTGAGATGAGCAATGCCAACTGAGCTTCAGCGATCCCACTGCCACCACCCTCTGTTCTTTCCATGTCTGTCAATACCAGATGTCACCTCCTAAGTGGCAAGAGGAAGCTCTGCCTGGTCAGTCCCTCGGGGAGCTTGAGAACCTGAGTCTCCTACTCTGTACTGTACTCTGGAGTCTCAGCCTTCCAGTAGGCTATTGGGCTGTAGCAACAAGCTGGGGGGGGGGCATGTGGAAGGTCACTGAGAAGTGGCCACACCTCCTCTCTTTCTCTGGGGAAAGACCATGTCTTACTGTCCCTTCCCACCCACCCAGGGCTTGGTCACTCTGTCTATGGCCATGTGATCACCCAGGTCAACTTGGGCTTAGTAAAGACGCAGTACAGTGTACACTTTCAGGGCTGGAGGCAGGGCGTCTAGTCTTAGCTTGCCTGAGTCTCTGGGCCCTTGGCTTTAGAGTCCATCTGGCTGTGAGCCGTGGTCAGTCTGATGTGTGGGAGCTCTCTAGTTTATGAACCCTTCTTCCTCCTCTGCTGTCCTGGGAGGGAGGGGGTAGAACCTGCCTGACCTGTCTAGGTGGCATTCCATATGCACAATGCCTCCCTGTGCTCATGTAAGGAATGTAGCAGCTTCTCTACAGCCCCCCATCTGTAGCTCTCAGATGGGGTCTTTGGGCTTAGAGTGGATATGCAGGCTCAGCGCTCAGTCCTCAGTTGTAAGTCTTGCTGAACTAGGATAGGACAACGCTGTGTGGTCTATTATCCTCCATGGATGACTAGGTCACCTGTTCTGGCAGATGTCATTTTGTACCAGGCCATGAGCCCAGACCCCTCCCTGCCCCTTCCTGGGCCTCTTTGGCTGGGCTGCTTTGAAAAGTGGGAGGGAGGGCTGGCTGCAAGTGGGGTCCCCAGTCCAGGTATCTTGGGTGCCTCCAGCCTCCTGGCTCTGTACACAGTGACCACCACTTATTGGAAGGACAGGGGTTCAGCCAGATGGGAACATAGGAGGGAATTGCTGCCCAGCTGGTTAAAAAAAGGCAGCGGGGGGGGGGGGGAGGTAAGGGAAGGCTGGCCACTCAGGCCTGCCCCACCAGGCCCCAGAGTCACTGAGAACATGGCAGAGCCTCATTCCTTCTGACAGCTTTACTGAGTGATCTGGAGGGTGGTGCCTGGGCCTCTTTCATTCCCCCCCGCCCTGGCTTCACCCTGCACATGGCAAGCCAGCTGCCTCCAGGGAGAGGGGACATCAGTTCCAGGTCAGGTGTAGGGTTTACATTCTGGTCCCCACTGTGATAGACCTGCAGTGGCTTCTTGGCTTGTGAGGGAGGAGTCATGCAATCCCACCTCTTCCTGGCCACTGTTTCTGGCCACAGCATCAGCCCACTTGATTCCTCCAGCAACCTCCCAGAATCTCTTTGCTAGCCCCGCTTGCTGGAAGATAAAGGTCAAGAGAGGGAAATGACTTGGTAATATCTCATGGGGAGAGTGGCAGGGTTGGAACCCAGGCCTCTGCATAGCACCTGCAGGGGCTGGCATCTCAGGGTCCCCATAGAGGTACCTCTGAGCTATGATGAGCATCCCTAGCATTTTCAAAGCCTGTGCATCCTCACCCCATGGTCCTGACCCCTCCCACCCACCTGTGGCGCATTTTGGATGGCTTCTCTATGTCCTTGCTCCTTCCTTCAGCCATCTGAGCCAAGAAAACAGTTGAGCTAAACCAGGAAATGATTCAGTGGGCAACGGGGCAAGTCACCTAATTGGCCTGTGCCGCAGGTACCTGTCTCTTCCCCAAGCCTGATAAGGTCGGAGCCAGGTGCAGGGCGCCAGCCAGGTGTTGGTGCTTGCCCAGATCAAAGAGCCAGGGCTGAGAATGGCTCCTGAGAATCTGTGGGTACTCGGGGCTGCTGGGCTGTGTATGTGGAGGGGTTCATGTGAGTGAGTGAGAGGCCTGGGCCTGCCTTGCATTCTCCCACTGAGACTAGAGTACAGTTGGTTTGTGAAGGTCCAGACTCCTGTCTGTGCCCCCCCCCAGCACCTCTGTGACCACCCACTGCATAATGCCAGCCCCTGGGGCCTCTTTCCATTTGGGAAAGCCCATCCTCCACATTAAAGTAGCAGCTGCCATTGAGCCTAATGCTTGGCAGGTGCTGGGCTGGGTTCTGCAGATGTTCTGTCCCTGCCCTTTAGGTGGAGTCCCTTTGTCAGTGGGAGCAGAAAATGGATCATCCAGTTGCTTTGACACAGCACAGGGCTGTGGGTTCCTGGATGGGTGGCAGAGAGTGTTATACCTAGCTCTGATGGCAGCAGGTGGAAAAGGCTTCTTTGAGGAACTTAGGAGACTTTAAGAATGAGTTAGAGCTGGGTGCCGGCAGCTCATGCCTGTAATACTACCTACTAAGGAGGCTGAGCCATCTGAGGATGGTAACCAGCCTGGGCAGGAAAGTCCACGAGACTCTTACCTACAGTTAACCACTCAAAAGCCAGAAGTATAGCTGTGGCTCAAATGGTAGAGTGCTGGCCTTGAGTGAAAAAAAAAACAACACAAAACTCAGGACAGGCCCTGAGTTCAAGTCCCAGTACCAGCTGGGACAGGGGGGAGGGGGAGGGAAAGAATGAGTGAGGTCGTTTGTTAACAGCAAAGACTGCTAGTTAGCTTGTCAGATTGAGTAGATGTGAGAAAATCTCCTCCCTCCCTGCAAGCTAGATAAAATAGGCCAAGGAAACATGTTTAAATTACATAGCTGAACTTGAAAGCTAAAGCTAAAAGGGAGATTGCCAGGTGCCAGGAGCAAAAATTTGGAGTCAAAAGCTGGGGTCATGGTGTTCAGGGATTGGATATTAGTCCTGGACTATAACTAGACACATTTTTGTGGACAATTTTATAAAAGATAATTTCATTGTTATTATTAGGGTTATATACAGAGGGCTTACAGTTTTATAAGTCAGGTAATGAATACATTTCTTTTTTGGATAGTGTCAGCCCTTCCTTTGCTTTCTTCCAGTTTTATGGAATGTTTTAACCACGCATGAAAGTAGAATGGTATAACACACTTCCTATGTTTATTTCCCAACTTATCACAGTGTCCTTGGTCTGAGGCATTTTCACTCTGAAGCCTGAACAGTAAGGCTGGACTCAGTTTCCCCAGCCGAGACAAGCTCCTTGAGCCAAGCTGTTCCTGGGCTGCTGGGTGGCTTTGTTGGTAGAACTTCCTTTCATAGATGGCCATTCCCTCCCTGCTTCTAGTGCTATCTACTTACAGGTCTGGGATGCCACTCCTTTCCCATGGAGGCCGTGTGTCTCCAGGGAGGCCAGCCTAGTCAAATCCCAGGCTGCTCTTTAGACAAGCCTTCAATGACTCAGAGCCTGCATGGGACATGGTGACAGTTCCCCTAACAAACAAACTCAGATGCAACATTAATAACACACCTAAGCCTGGTGCCAGTGGCTCACACCTATAATCCTAGCTACTTAGAAAGCTGAGCTTTGAAGCTTTCAGTTCAAAGACAGCTCAAGCAGGAAAGTCTGAGAGAATCTTATTTCGAATTAACAAAAACAAACAAACAAACAAAAAACAGAAGTAGAGCTGTGGTTCTAGTGGTAGATTGCCAGCCTTGAGCAAAAAATTCAGGGACAGTGCCCAGGCCCTCAGTCAAGTCCCAGGATTGGCACCCACACACAGAATAGTACACACAGCTGGAGTAGGAGGTAGTTCAGTGGTAGAGGATTTGCCTAGTATAGGATCTGAGTCGGATTCCAAAACTACAACAAAAACAATAAATAAAGTAAATTGGGTGCCAATGGCTCATGACTATAATTCTAACCACTTAGGAGCTGAGATCTGAGGATTTCAGTTTGAAGGCAGCCTGGAAAGAAAAGTGAGACTATTATCTCCAATTAGCCAGCAAGAAGCTGCAAGTAGAAGTGTAGCTCAAGTGGTAGAGTGCCAGCCTTCAGTGGAAAAGGCAAGGGTGAATGTCTAAGCTCTTGAGTTCAAGTCCCAATACTAGCATACAAAATCAATAAGATAAAATAAAAATAAAGTACATGGGAAACTCGTCATTGTGAGAAGCAATCAGCTGGCCCCAAGAACAACCTGAAAAACTAGAGACTAGATCCTTTCTTTATGTTAATGTTAATGGGGTTTGAATTCAGAGCCTCTAGCTTTCTAGTCCAGCCTTCTATTTACTACTTGAGCCACAACAATGTCCCTTAAAGGGATTTCCTTCCCCCAATCCTGGGGCTTAAACTCCTAGGCCTGGGCACTGTCTCAGCTTCTTTTGCTAACACTCTATCACTTGAGCCACAGTGCCACTTCCAGCTTTTTCTGTTTATGTGATACTGAGGAATTGAACCCAGGGCTTCATGTGTGCTAGGTAAGCACTCTACCACTAAGCCACATTCCCAGTCCCCTTAAAGGGATTTTAAAATCATATATGCTTAGTTTTTCAAAGCATAGTATTTGTAAGACAAAACTAGCACATTACAAAAAAAAAGAACAGGGACATGTTTAAGTTC